TGGTGGCATAGTGGTTAAGAGCTTGGCTGCTAACCAAAAGGTCAGCAGTTAGAATCCACCAGCCGCTCCTTGGAAACCCTATGGGGCAATTCTAGTCTGCCCTATAGGGTTGCTATGAGTTGGAATCGACTCGATGGCAGTGGGTTATGGGTTATATATATAATTGCCAAGCATGTAGTAGGTACTCAGTAAATCTTTGTGGAGTGAATGATTGAATTGTACTTGGTGACTGATATTTTTAAAGTGAGTTTGTTTAAATGTGAAATGTGCATATTTACCTCCATAGGACAGGAAAAGGTGACCATCATAATAAGTAAGAATACAGTGTGGTCAAGAAGCCCTGCATTGGGAGGCCTGTGTAGATTATACCTCCTTTTAGCTCTTTATCCAAGGTAGCAGTAACTCAATATCCTTATCCATAAATAAGGGATAATGATACCTGTCTGCCCATCAAGGCTGTTGTGAGGTTCAAATGATGTAACACATATAACCCAAATTTCCAAGTGTCCTTAGCCTATGACTATAAAATAAGGTCATGTTTGTTAACGCCAGAATTAGTTATTCTACTGACACAAAATAGAGATAATTAAACTCTCATTTAATTTCTCGCTGATTGAATGAATATTTACTATCTGCTACATATAAGGAAATTTGCACAAATAAAGAAGGAAGAGTACCCAGTTGGAAATCCCCCAGCACATTCCCAGAATATCAACTTGAATTTCCTGCTGGGCCTGAAAGTCTAAAGATTAATTCTATACTGTTAGCATTCACCAAATATACTACTAAGAGGTGAGATGATTATCAAGGAATGCTTTTAATAAACATACCAAATATGCAGTCTGTCCTTTGGTCGTTTGGGGAGGCTATGATTATTTCAGTTACACGGCCATTGCTCAAAACACATTAGAAACTCGTATTTGGTAAAGATCCTGCAACATTCCATTTTATGTCCTCAGTGGTAGCCAATCTTTGTCCTTGGAAGGTAAATTTGATTTTTGAAAATCTTTTGGTCTTTTGAATCATTTGAAGCCACCTTGGATGAATTCTACTCAGTAACCCTGTTTTAACGTCAAAACAATGTGACAGCAAAGTAAGGGAATGTATTACTTCATGTGATTTGTAAACTGGCTCAGAAGCTGCACTGTTGGGCTAGATACACAGCTGTAGCTTCCATACAGATTACAGCCTTAGAGACCCTATGGGGCACTTCTACCCTGTCACACAGGGTTTCTATGAGTCAACATTGACTCAATGACAAACAACAGCAGCAGCTGTAAGTATCACTTACTTTGAAGGACAGCATTCATTTGACTGTGTAAAGCCTGCAATGTTGGTTGAAAATTCAGTACCCACTAGTGTATAGAATAACAGAAAGAGCAAACGCTCATTTCTCACTTCCTACAAATCCACTAATGGTCTAAGGAGGTCCTATCACCTCCCTGGGCTCTAAGCCCCTCATCTTTAAAAGGATCCCAAGAGCCCCTCCATCTTTAGTCTTTTATGGCTTTGCTTCCTATCACAGCTCACCCAGACCTGTATCACACCTAGACACCCACCCTGTCCTATCACCACCTACTGAGTGTGTGACCAGTGGGATCCCTTGTGTAAACACAGAGGAATTTGATAAGCAGCTGACGAACTATAAGTCTAGTTGACCGTGCTCTGTCTAGTTGCTTCCTTTTTTTTATTTCAGTCTTGGTACTTCCTTCACACAGATGCCTTCAGATGATGCCCATCATACAAAGAAATCTGAAGACAATTTTTAAAATACATTATTTCCTTACAATGTCTAATGTGTATTGGACAGTTCCTCATATGTAAAAATAGTCGAATGCCATGGTCTCTATAAGGTCTTCCATGTCATGGTTTTGTGGTTCTGTGATGTTCTTTACCTTCAGATGGGACGTAAAAAGAGAGCCCCCTGGATTAGACCAACCTGTACTCTCGTTGTTTTGACTTCTTTTGCAGTCAAGAGCAGAGTAATGATAAGCTAGTGATGGAAATTTTAACTGACATGCTGAAGCGGTTGCCACTGACCGTAGAGAAAGAAGAAAGTTCTGGAACGACAAACACATTAAAGAGCATGATGTCAAGTACCATTTGGAAGTCTCTTAATAAAAATGTCAAAGGTGAGCACAGGACATGAGCTTCCTCCTCTCACCCCAGTCTCCTAAGGGAGGGACTTTGGCACAGGAGGAAGGTAAAGACAGGACAGAAGTACCACGGAAGTAAAAAGGCTGAGACAATATGGAAAGCTAAATCTCGATCCCTGCCTCTCTCCAAATTGGATGGTAGGGTGCAGAGAAGAAGATGATTTTTATGGGAACAGCATCCAGACCAAAAATGAAGAAATAATAAATGTAGCAAACCAGAAAGGAGCAACTCTGCTTGGAAGATTCTAAGGAATTTCTCAGTCCCTGTTCTCTGCCTGTCTGCCTTCTAGAACAGCATTATTAGGCTGTGAGGTTTAGATGGGTGGGTCCTCAGAGGAGTGAGGGCAGGCCCAGGAGAGACAGAGGAAGCCTGGTTGCAGTGGTGTCACTAGGGCTGGTCTCACCCAGTGCAGTAACTCATGTGTCAGCACCCACCTGGGGTGGGTGGGGCTGGCCGGCAAACCCCAACATAGCTGGAGCGGCCCGGCCCCGCCCCAATGCAGGGCCAAGCACCCTGCCCTATGGCCCTCGCCCCTCCCGCCTCCACCCCCTGCAGCTCCCCACAGCTCCTCCTGTCTCCCGCTGGCCAAGGCAGACACCCTCCTGTCCATCCAGTGGTGTGCACCACGTCCCTAGTGGCAGCACAGCTTGGGTGGCCCCTCCCCCGGCAGCACTGGCCTGCCCGCCACCACTGCCACTGCCAAGGACCCTGGGGTCATTTTGCTGTCAGCCCCTCTGACAGTGTCAGGGGTGTGGTTCACACCCTCCTCCTCCATCCCCCCGCCCCCCAGCCCTCTAGTGACGCCGCTGTCTGGTTGCTCAGTTAGTTCAAGACTCAGCTCTGAGAGGCTAAATGTTGGACTATGGTAATTTTC